TCTTTTTTCATTTAGCTAAAGAACAATTTCGCCCCCAGATGAGGAGTGAGCCTGCTGGGAAGGATGGGAGAGAGTAAGAGAATGAGAGAGAGGGAGAGTGAGAAAGACAGGGAGGTATTGTGTTAGTAAGGCTGCAGTGGTGCAGTGTTTGCTTTGGTTTCTAGGGTAACACCAGACTGCAAAGAGATAACTTAAACAGATGTGGAGAACCCAGGGAGGGAGAAAAAGACGAAAAAAGAAATCAGGAAAAATAACGAAACAGAAAAGCCACAGATAAATCCGCCTTGTCTGTGACTGTTTCTGGTATTTTGGTGTTTAAAGAAAGAGCAAATCATGTCCAGAGAGAGAGAAACCAGAGCGATTAAAAGAAAAGACAGAGGGGAAAAAACTGGAGAAAATAATTATAAGAAATTCACGTGATTTACTGATTTAAAAAAAAAAAGGAAAAAATCTATTTATAAACATGGATGGCAGGCATGCAGGTTGTCAGTCACAGAGATAAAAACATTTAATTTATTTTTCCAAATTATTCTTAATCATTCACGTATACAATTAGGGCTGTCAGAACTATGAAATTTTGCTATAATAAAAAATTATATGAAAAATTGTCTAGTCTGTATATATGTTATCTGCAGCATAACTTTAACACACACTGAGGATTTCCTTTAAAGATTAAATTATTTAATATAACAAGAATGTGATATTCCAAATATTTATTTATTAATTAAATATTACGAATATTACTATATAAAATATAAAAGTCCACTTAAATTCACACAATTTTTATGGAACCTAGCCCTCTTGAATAAAATAAAAATAAAAATAAAATAAAGTCTTCTTTAGGACTTTATTATATATTGAGACTAATTTGGAGACAACCTGGAATATTTGCACTTGTAAAAAATCTAATTGTAAGACCGCAGGACTACTTGAATAACAAAAGGTAATATTTGATTTAAAAGATTGTAGCATCTAAAATGCATCCTTTTCCTTAAACATTCACATACATGAATACTTAAAAAATATAACGCTGGTTAATCTACCCACGTGATGCATGAGTGTGTATGCATCTGTGTGTATGCGCGTGTGAACATCCAGTTTCAGAGAGGGAGGTAATTATGAATGTATTCTTTCAAGTCCTCAGCAGTGCGACGAAGGTTCCTCCTTTCATCTGGAAAAACCAAATCTGGTAGGCCGAATTAAGAGAGACAAATTAAAAAGATAAAATTCCCTTTCTAGTCAGCAGAGAGATACCTTCAAACCCCTCTTGGACCTTTGACAATTCAAAAAGCAGCGACAAAAATGAATGTTTCTGTCACAAAAAGCATCATCTCAACCATAGCTGCACCGAAAATAATGAATAGATTAAAATGATAATTGGAAACTCAAACCTCCCCTCCCTTCCCCACAGATCCTTACAAGCTGTACATGGCGGACAAATTTAAATTAAGAAAAAATAAGAGTGGAAAAGAAATGAAATAATAAAAGTGTGTGAAATATTGATAGCGTCTGATGTATTGTCTCATCTGCGAGATCACTGAGGGCCGACCATTACAAACAGGGGAACTGAAGAAGAAAATTGACCAGCACAATGATCTATAGGAAACGATCATTCATAAAGCGAGCCGGCTCCTCTTCATAGCGCCCATATTAACATCTATTTCTCAATGTTGTATTTCACTCTCTTCCACAGAAAAGAGCTGTTTATATGGAGCAAAACCGATTGAAACAATCCATACTAAAAAACACTCAAATCGATATAAGATCAAGGCAGCCATGCAAAATGGGAGTGAAAATGGTGTTGCTTGCATCTCCTGTATCTTTCCCAAAAACTGTGAGTGGATTAAAAATGTCATTTTATCATTGAAGCTAATTTCAACTATATTTAAAGTGTCAATTATTATTCCCAAATCGAGTGCTTGTTTTAGCCACCTGACCTCATGCGCACTGATTCAACAAATGCTGCGAGTTTGCCCTTTGTTATGACCTATGCAAAACAGAGCTTATCTGTTTACACAAGAATACTCAAACCGAGCATCATTAAACCCTCAATGTCAAGAGTCACAGAAAAGTGCAGGGTCTACAAATACATCTAGTAAGGTTAACACAAGACAGGTTCTTCACGATAACCATCTCTTAGAGGGTCATAGGAAACTCATTTGAATTTTTTCCAATAATTCTAGAATATTTTTTGCCACAACTGGATCCTATGCTCACCAAGGCTGCATTAATTTGATAAAAATACAGTGAGATTGTACTAAATATTGAACAGCTATATTGTAAAATGTATACTTCAATATATTTCATTTTTTATATAATTTCATGAGCCATTTAACCAGTCCGACGCTTGACGCGTCAACGTGCTCTGGCATAGTAGACATAGATATTTATAAGTAGATTCCCACGGCCCATAGAAACAGTCACTAATGAGGAATCTACTTATATATGTCTATGTCTACTATGCCAGAGCACGTACATGCGTCGAATGTTGTGAATGCGCTCAGGACAGCTGGACATTGCGGTGGTTCAGAGGTAAAAAAAAATTATATAAATATTGTTCAGATTCTTGCACAGACCGATCGTTTCGTGTCTTAAGACCTCAATGTATCGTCACGAGCCGCAGGGTTTAATTTGGTTTTGTCTGTATATGTTTTTTTGACTCTCAAAGCTGTGGAGCCCATAGACTGCCATTATATGACTGACAGACTGCAACGGTTTGAGTTAAAAATCTTTGTTTGTGTTCTACTGAAGAAACAAAGTCACCTACATCTTGGATGCCCTGGTGCCAAAACAACAGCTTGTGGAATGTACCACTTTATGATGTAACAGTGTGGCTAAACACCGCCTCCGCAGAAGATTATCAATGCCTGCTTCTACATCACTGCCTGTTTAGCCCTGCCTACCGATCCTGCATTACTGGCTGTTTAGCCCCGCCTACCGATCCTACATCACTGGCTGTTTAGCCCCGCCTACCGAACCTACATTACTGGCTGTTTAGCCCCGCCTACCGATCCTACATTACTGGCTGTTTAGCCCCGCCAACCGATCCTACATTACTGGTTGTTTAGCCCCGCCTACGATCATACGTTACTGGCTGTTTAGCCCCGCCTACCGATCCTACGTTACTGGCTGTTTAGCCCCGCCTACCGAACCTACATTACTGGCTGTTTAGCCCCGCCTACCGATCCTACATTACTGGCTGTTTAGCCCCGCCAACCGATCCTACATTACTGGTTGTTTAGCCCCGCCTACGATCATACGTTACTGGCTGTTTAGCCCCGCCTACCGATCCTACGTTACTGGCTGTTTAGCCCCGCCTACCGAACCTACATTACTGGCTGTTTAGCCCCGCCTACCGATCCTACATTACTGGCTGTTTAGCCCCGCCAACCGATCCTACATTACTGGCTGTTTAGCCCCGCCTACCGATTCTACATCACTGCCTATTTAGCCCCGCCCACCGATTCGCACACATACTGCTGTAGGTAAATGGCAAGAGCGGCAAAGGCAGGTCTACGCAGAAACCAAATGATAAACTTTATTTGATGAACTTTATTTTTAATAAAGTTCCAGACCGCGTGCGTCATTAAGAACTTGGCCTTTGTTCTCTTCATTTTACCGTGGATTTGTTTATGGACAAGGCACAATTTGACGCAGGATTTTCAGAAAGATTGAAACTAAAAGACGATGCTGTGCCGACTATATTGGATCCGAAGTAGCGCCACACAAGTGTGACTAACTGTTTTCATCACATGATCACTTCTGCTTTGTCTGTTATTATTATTATTTGATATGTACTGAACCTAAATCACAGCAATGTCCATCTGTGAAGAAAGTATGCTGTCAAACATACATAATTGTTAGCCAGGTCTACGCAGAAACCAAATGATAAACTTTATTTGATGAACTTTATTTTTAATAAAGTTCCAGACCGCGTGCGTCATTAAGAACTTGGCCTTTGTTCTCTTCATTTTACCGTGGATTTGTTTATGGACAAGGCACAATTTGACGCAGGATTTTCAGAAAGATTGAAACTAAAAGACGATGCTGTGCCGACTATATTGGATCCGAAGTAGCGCCACACAAGTGTGACTAACTGTTTTCATCACATGATCACTTCTGCTTTGTCTGTTATTATTATTATTTGATATGTACTGAACCTAAATCACAGCAATGTCCATCTGTGAAGAAAGTATGCTGTCAAACATACATAATTGTTAGCCAATCATAGCAGTGGGCATTTACTTCTGAGTCTTACTTCTAAATTATGATGTTTTTTGATGTAAAAATCCTGATAACATTATATGTGGACCTCAGGGAACAGTATAAAATAAAAAACAAAGGCAGTTCATGACCCCTTTAAATGAAATCTTACTGAATCACAGTCCTCACAAACACAAACTGAAACCAATGGAGTACTCTTAAAAGCAGGAATGGCAAAACATGATTTAATAGCCGCCAGCAAATGTTTTTAGATGTTATTGTTGAAGACAGAGAATGTGCTGCAGAACTGACGTTTTGGTGACGGTGGTGCTTAAAAAGGGATGAATTTAGAAACAGAGAGGGTTTTAGTGCATGGTAAAAACCCTTCCTAGAAAGTGCGTCTTTAAATTCATCCCCACATTTGTTCTGTCAGATAAAGGTAGGAGATGTCTAGCTTCTGTCAGACAGAGTAAAGCTGCTTGTGAACTGTCATATTTGAATGTTCACTTCAAGTTCAAGAGGTAAAAAGTCTGAGGACTGTCTAATGAACAGTTTCACTGTTAGCAAAATCCTTTTATTTAGATAGTCTAGCATGAAAGCCATTAAAAGCAGACGTCCTTTTGGAGCAAATCACCTGGGCGGCAATGACCTCTTCATTAATCCTCATCAGAGATAAGTTACTGCTAATGTGAGCAAGCATCATTAGGGATATCTCAGCGCTAGTATAAATTTACACATGTCCTCATTGGCAAATACTGCACTTGTATAGTAATGCGTGTGTGTGTGGTCAGACCTGCTGGAAAGATTCAAGAGCTCGTGTTTGTCTGCAGCAGTGGATTTGTCCTCCAGCTCCCACAGCAGAACGTTGATGAGATGAGAGTTCTTGATGACAATGGGCACCTCCTCGAACATGTTCTCATTACCCACGCTAGCCTTCTTCAGCCTGCGCACACAGAAAAGAGATTTTCATCGTCATTGATCCATTCATCCATTTTCAGAATCTGGAAGTGACCCCTGTCAAAGATTTGACATCACATTTTTGATAACAGCAAGCTAACACTGTGGCCTAACTAGGCACAATACGTCAAGTTTCAAGCAATTTGTCAGGCCATATTGAAAGTGAAACAGCTGTGCGATTTGACAATCATGGCCAATTTAGAGGAGCAGAATTATGGCCCAATCAGACTGAAATCAACAGAAGCCAATCAACAGACAAAAGGTCCTTGCTCATTATGTATAAAGACAAAAACATCACTAATTAGCTTACTTTCACTACCTTTCTTTTGAACCCCCTTTCTACTTCCTCCCACTCATTCCCAATCAGTTTTTGACTTTATCCCCCTCATTAGGATCTGCTTGTGGTCAAGTCTCCTGCAATGTGGGAGTGAAAGGCACTATGTGAACAGATCACTCTAGTTAAATGATTGGATGATTTCAACTCTTCTCCATTACTAATCGCTCCATTAGACAAGCACTCTAGGCTGATTAGTCAACTGATTTCAAAAGACAGTTTTTGTTTTGATGGGGGTTTTTTTTTCAGATCAGAATTATAAGAGAATATCTCAAGCCAAACTACAAGGGAGACTGAAGTAAACAAGGGAACGGACCCTTTATCCAGACTCTCAGCCAATCCATCATTCACCAATACAAAAATGCTAGATGTTGTCTACAACAATATATAATAACTTAACAGTTAAATAAGTGAAAGAAAAAGGTTATACAACACCTTTAGAAATACATTTAGGAATAATATACATAAATAGAAAATATAATATAATATAATAAATATAATATAATTAAAAATGAAAAATATATCCTCATATATATATATATACACACACACACACATTTGATATTCTGGTCATTTTTTTTTTTCAAGCACATTTTACCAATTCCATAAATCTGAACAACTACTACTTTTGTATTTAGTCATTTATAACCTGCTTAATAATTCTACATACCCTGGTATAAGGCATTCCAGTCCTTGTTAATTATATATCACTTATAAATTATTAAATATAAACTTATTGGTAGTTATTAAGATCAATGCGGTTGGGAATTGGTAAAATGTGCTTGGAAAAAAAATATGACCAGAACATCAACTTACATAATAATTATGCACACACTGTGTGTGTGTGTGCGTGTGTGTGTGTGTGTATATATATACTAAGTCACTCACACGCACACACACACATTAGTCCATCTGCATTAACTTCATTGACTCCCAGGGATTTAAAGGCTTACCCATCTGCTGAGAAGTCCTTCTCTTTACAGATCTCCATGAGTTTTGGGGTCAATCTGTAGGCTTTCAAGTACAAAGAACCCTGGGCTGTCTTGATGGGATCTACAGAGAAAGAGAACCAAAGACAAAACATGGATGGTCTTTCTGAAGATAGCAAACAAACCTAAGTCTTGCTCAACACAGGGTACTATCTATAAGCTTCAAAAACAATAAACACTGTAGCAAGACCAAAATACAAAGGCAGTAAAGGCTGTTATGACAACCGTATGAAAGGTAAAATTGAAGATATGAAGTTTGAAAAGATGCAGTATGTGTTAATCTACCAAGGGACCAGAACTGTCAGCCAGTCAAAGTGGATTAATCTCACTGTCAGAAGGCTGACATTTTGAGGGTAAAAAAAAATCATTAATGTTCTGTCGAAGATGGGCAAAACTTGCCAGTCAGCTCTGCCCGTTATCCATTATCCAAAGACAGGATTTATAGCACGGTTCTGTTCTGATATTAAATGCATTTAGACACCGTGGAAAGATGATCGTCTGTCTTTTCAAACTGTCTTGAAACTTCCCAAATGACATAAAAATGGCAATCTAAAACAACTCAAGGAGATCTCAAGATCTGCTTAGACACAGGTAAGATTCAGTTAGTCTTCTTCAAGTACCTGTTGAAATGGAGTGGACTGAATCAATACCAGGTTTGAGGATGTATTTATGCACCACTTCTGAAAGCATCCACAATGCCTTTTGCAACAACAGTGTACGCAACTTGAAATGATAAAAACAAAACACAAATACAGAAATAAGCAGAAGTGCATGATGAAAATTAATTTACTAAAATGTATTGTATTGCTAAGTGGTTTCTAGGGTGCTGCCACCCACCAACATCTCTGACTTGTGTAGTGTATCATGCTATGATAATGAGAATATAGCAAGGTAATATAATTCGCAAAGAATTATTTGTATTGATATCAAATTTTGGACCCAACTGTATGTTTTTTTTTTCAGCTACAGCTACTAACTTATAAAAAAATCAAACATACAGCTATTACATTTCCTAAAAAAAAATGCTAAGAATTTCTCAAATTCACAACATATCATTTGAAACAAAATACAATAATATTAATTTAGAAAAACAGAAAGACAGGATATTTTTTCACTAGATTTTAACCATTTTTGACTATATAACAAGCATAAAACCAAGCATACAGTCATAAAATTATAAAATTTCCTAAGAATTCACAAATTGTGAATTAATTGGATGGATGGACGAGAGATCCCCAATTTCTGACCCTCCCATTACTAAAATGTGCATAAAATCAAGCTTTAAGTAATAACATTTCCTAGTAATTTCTCAAATTTCACTAAATATAATAATAAATACATGAAATTTAGTATATGAATATGAATATACTACAAATACTAGGAACTGAATCATGAATGCCATATAATGACATGATGCACGATGTTGAATCAGAAAGAAATTCACTAGTGGTCTCAACTCCACTACATGTCCTTTACTTTAAAAAAAAAAACACCTAGTACCTGAGAGCCAGAAGAACATATGAAACCATGTCTATCAAGTCTCACATTTTGTGGACCCACTGGCCCTCTGAATGCTTTCATTGTTCATGTGGAGAGTGCGTTTGGTGCAGGGTGGGGTTTCTGGCAGCTGCTAGGTGTCTGATATATTTTTAGTGAGGAGCGCCTGCTTGCCACCACAAGGAGGAGACTGAACAAACACTCTGATAGGGATCCACATCTGGCCTGAGGGGGAAGTCTGAGGAAAGTTACAGACAGCGTGGACCACGAGACCGAGAAACGGACTGGGGACGTGAATGAAGGAGGGGTGCGAAGAACAGTCAAAGTTTTATGTTTACGTTTTCATCCAAATCCGCACTGGAATCAGAGCGCGTTTACGACACTGCTGTCCCAGTTAGGTGGGCGAGTGGAGGTGTACAACATTTGTTTGTGTGAGTTCAGGGAAACAGATCTGTTGTTAATGCAGCTTGTCTGACGATTCCTCCGCCCTCGTGCCGCCATCGGCCCATCGACATCTGGGATGGGTGGCGTCTGTGCCGGTGGATGAGGGGGTGTCCGGGTCCTGAATCCACTCCTGAAGGTACACATCAGCTCTGCGATAGCAGGCTAAATAAACAGAGGGGAGGAAACCCTGTCTAGACAAGGCTGCTGCCGGGCCCGCTACGCACACCAGCCTCCTGTTTACACAAGGGGGGAATGCTGTCCACAGCCAAGAAACGATGGGGTAGAGACGGAGAGAGAGAGAGAAGGGAAAGTTGTAGAGCAAAGCAGTGCAGTAGGAAAGAAGTGTGTGTTTGGGTGAGGGGTGCTGAAACATGCTGCTCTGTGTGTGTGTGTGTGTGTGTGTGTGTGTGTGCGCGCGCGTGCAAGCATGTACAACAGAAATAGAGAAAGGGAAGTCCAGAAGAAAAAAAGCAAAGAGCAAGGTGATACCAGAAAGGACAGCTAAATACCTCAGACACCATGTTTATACTGTATATGCACATAATTTTCCCATTAAGGTCCATTTTCTGGTTACGCCTTTTATTCAGAAGATATTTACATGCTTCACAGCTATTGGAATATTTATATATACACATGTAATCAGCATAATCCGAATAAACCAAAATGTTTTCTGGAAATACTGGAAAAGTTCTTAACATTTTTAGTCATTTTCGGAATTCGGACAGTAAATATAACCAGCTTATTCATGTCCACCATAACAGGATTAACCTTAACCATAATCATGAATTGCTAAATTTTGGTCATTAAATTCTTAGAAATGTAGACATGGCATTTTTTGAATGTTTGTAAAATGTGACCCTGGACCACAAAAATTTTTTTTTATTGAGATTTATACATCATCTGAAAGCTGAATAATAAGCTTTCAATTGATGTATGGTTTGTTAGGATAGGACAATATTTGGCCGAGATACAACTATTTCAAAATATTGAGAAAAATGCCTTTAAAATTGTCCAAATGAAGTTCTTAGCAATGCATATTACTCATCAAAAATTAAGTTTTGATATATTTATGGTAGGAAATTACAAAATAGCTTCATGGAACATGATCTTTATTTAATATCCTAATGATTTGTGGCATAAAAGAAAAACCGATAATTTTGACACATGCAATGTATTTTTGGCTATTGCTACAAATATACCCGGTGCTACTTATGACTGGTTTTGTGCTCCAGGGTCACAAATGTTAGTAGAAATCAAATTTGAGTCTCTCTCATTTCAAATGTGTTTTTTTTATTTTACTTTTCACAACTGTTTATATGTAATATCACTAAGAAAATACCTTTGTTTCAGCACCACATGATTCTTCAGAAATTAATTCTATTTTGTTGACAGATTTGGGGCTCAAGAAACATTTCTTGTTATTGCAAATGTTGAAAACAGTTGTGCTGCTTAATATTTGTGTGGAAATTGTGATACATTTTCAAGATTGATTGGTCAATAAAAAGCTTAAAAGAATAGCATTTATTTGAAATATAATTTTTGGTAACACTTTAGAATAGGGAACACTTATTCATTATTAACTACGACTTTTCCCTTAATAAATTCCTAGTTTGCTGCTTATTAATAGTTAGTAAGGTAGTTATTAAGTTTAGGTATTGGGTAGGATTAGGGATGTAGAATAAGGCCATGTAGAATAAGGCATTTATATGTGCTTAATTAGTACTAATACATGGCTAATATTCTAGTAATATGCATGCTAATAAGCAACTAGTTAAGAGACCCTAAAATAAAGTGTTACCGATTTTTTTTCCGCTGAAATAGAAATATTACGTTTCTGTGCACATTTATGCGTTTTTAGGTGACAAACTGGGAAAAAGAAAATGTGCTTTCTGTGAATAATAAAACAATATCATTGGAAACATGTAGGAATAGTCTGTTATTATTTATTGCTAGGTCAATGTTGTTGTGGGTTTTGGTTCTTCTGCTGTTGTAGGACCTTTGAAATAGCTGAAATCATTTGGCAAAGTGACATGGACAAACGTTTTATATGCACATTCTGACTTAAGAGACAAAAAAAGTGTGAGAGAAACCTACCATATATAAGCACAACTGACTCTTCGATGGCGTGCTGGTAGCTGAACTGAGAGTCCAGAAGGGCCCGGGTGACAAAAGAACCGTAGAAAGTTGACTGGTACCAACCCACGTGAAGATGATCAATGTTTACATGGCGCAAACTTCTCATCATCTCCATCTGATACTGGACTACAAGAGAAAAGAGAGAGAAATGGCATCAGGGTAGGCATGATGAGGCGTGATGTTGTGATTTCTCAATTGCACATTATGCTTGACGATTATTGTCTCTCTCATTATGAGCAGCTCTGAGCAGCTCTTCACCTGAAGAATAGGTCACAGTCACAACAAACAACAAGGACATGCAAAGTGCCTTGAGAGGGAAAATGTTTTACAGATAAAATCATGCCCGCTTTGTTTCATTGTCAGTTAAAAAGCTGTTAAGGGTAATAATTCGCCTGCCCTGGAACCTGGGTTGAATCTAATATTCAACCAATATGAGATTTTAGCTGTGAAGATCTATATTTCTTAATTGAAAATGATGATATTTTGATCAATACACAATTGCTATAAATTTGAAAATGATTAGGCAAAAATAAATGCTAGAAAATTAAAGTAAGAACACTTAATAATTATACACACACACACACACCAGTAAAACAAAAAACAAATATAATGTGTTTGGTTATTACAGTGCAAAAAAAAAGACCCTTTTGCTGCGTCTCAATGTGCCTACTTATACTACGCCCTTAAAGTATGTACTCTTTTGGTGAAGAAAAGGTACACACTTTTGAGTGTTTAGTAGAAGAGTATGCAAGCTTTGGGAAATACTATTACGTCACACAACTGCGTCTTTAACGGACGCTCTGTCGCATAGATACACGCACCCTGTCACTGTAAACTGGCCTGTCAATCATCTTGTCACAGTTAACATCATCCACATTGCATTTCATTTAACTTCCTACCGTACTGGAGAGAAAAGAAGTAGCACATTGATCTGCCAGTCGCGGGTCTTTCATGCCGAGAACACTCAAACCCCTTTTTGTAAACCTCTCTACCTAACCGTCGATCGCGCGCATCCGCCACGTTTGTAGTTTTTCTAACGCGTTTTATTCGTGTTTGTAGTTCTGGGCCGAATCCTTCGCCAAAGCGCAATGGATTGTGGGCAATTTTAGCCATTAGAGTGTGCACAGATCCACACTTCAAAAATCGACCTGAAATAGTAGACCATCCGGGGTCAATAACTATTATTTCAGAAATTCATTTCAGAAGATTAAGTTAAGTATATTTTACATTAGGTATATTTTATCTTCACTGACTTCCTGTGGTCACCGAATGCTTCCGCCATATGAAAAAAACAGCATCAATATCCTGTTAAACTCAAAACTTTAAAACCTATATTAACAATTTAGCACAATAGCATCTGGATGCCTTAATATTTAGAAGGATTTTAGGATAAAGTTAGGATAACTGAGTACAACCAAAGTAAGATCAAGGTAATCTTATTTGAATCCACAAATGATTAAATAGTAGTCTGTTCATGCCCAGTGTATAAATCGTCTGTGCTTCAGTGTAAAAACAGTTTTGTAAAAACACATCCTTTTCTTTTCTAGCATATGCACCATGAGCTTATGAGCAAAAACCCTCTCTGACAGAACTCAGACAACCTTGATGGGGGGTTTGATGCTTAAATGAAATGGATTCTAAGTCTTGGACATTCAAGACCTCTGTTAGCAGTCCAATCTCACTGTATGTATAGCCAATTAGCACTGTTTACTACTGTAGCTTAGTGAATTGATATTTAACATTACATTTCTGTCTGGAAGAAAAAGTTACGCTCTGTAATTAAACTCTACAACTTATACGTGACCAAATGATCAACAAAGTGAGCATAAAAAAACCTTAAAGAAGATGCACAATAGGTCAATGTTCCTAAAAAGAAGATATTGACAAGCTGATATATTGGCCGAGCCCAAGAATCTTAAAATTCTCTTGCAAAGGGCATGTTGTAGAGGGCTAAGAAAACTCATATTTGTCCATCCCTAGTGTACAGTATGATCACAGGAATATCTGTGCAAGTACACAAACTTTCAGGACAAACATGCACTTCAGCAGAGTGCACTTACGGAGCACTGGGCTTCTTGTCAACCCTGGAAACTTCGACCCAAACACGGCCAGATTTGGTACTACAGACAGCGATAAATGTACGAACACAGACACATTAACTGCTCGGCTTAGCTGGACAACAATATCCACTCTCGTGTGCCAAGCCAGAATCCTGATGTCCCGAAAATACCCCCTCTGACAATTCAAAGGCCATTCGGTTTTATCCCGAATGCAAAAGGGAGATAGCAGGATTATTAACAGAGGAAACATGTCGAGGATGAACATAACAAGGGTCTTCATTTTATTAAAACAGTCAGAGTGTCTCATAAGTTACATTACATGAGAAGTGGTCCGCTCTCATGAGAAAACATCTGCGATATGAAGACTAGCCGTAGGATGGAAGGCAACAGTAACTCAAAAAAAATTGAAACTAATCAAATGGTTGATCCTTTGGGGGGGAGAACATCTCTAAAAGGAAATGTGTGAGAAAAGAGGGTTGGAGGGGACGAAAACATATTGGCTCTTTTAGAGTGGATACAAAACGGACTTCAAAAGCAGTGAAAAATGTGTGCATTCCAGTACACGGCACAGTTTTAAAACCACAAACCAGATTTTGCAAGGACAAATGAGTTGCATGAGAATAAAGGGGGGGAAAAAACAGAAAAGATGTAAAAAGAAAAAGAGAGACAAAACGAACAAACCCAAACCCCCTAAAACACTTGAAACAACAACACAAAAAACAAGATAATGAGAGTCTTGCTGATGGCATCCTGTAATTAAATGGATTTTCATACGGAAAAAACACCACCCCAAAAAAATATATAAATACAAGGCCAAACCCACCAGATTTTTTGCATGGAAGATTTTTTTTGCACGATTTGAGACCTCGCATTAACTTTTTGACTTCTTCTGTGGACACTTCAAATGTTGTGGGTTACAAGCAGAAAAACAAGGAGGCCTAAAAATGGCAGATCTGCACAGCAATGTTGGCGCCTCGATTTCAAAATGCTAATGTTAAAGTAGTACCAAAAAAGAAATGATCAAAGATGTCAAATTAAACAGTACAACATCATCATCACTCTTTAGCAGCTCAAGGTCAAAGTAGTAAGGCAGAGTGTATTTTGGGTTGTGTAAATATAATAGCCATTGCTTTTGTCTGTACTTGAATCATGCGGCTTGTTACAGAGAAATGTGCTATATTCCAAGCAACTGGACTAACAATTTTCACCTAGAAAACCATAAAACTATGAATATGATATTCTAGACATGTGCCGATATTTGGTATGCGATATATCACGATAATGAATATGCACGGCATTGTTATCGTGGGCACTTCAAAATACAGAGAATAATTATTTATTACAAATTATTCCGAATTTTGAATGCATTTTAAGAATACTTTTCACACCAACTGGATAAATGCACAACACCACTGTAAGCTGCGTCAAAGACGCGTGCGCACTCTAATGTAAACAAGCACGGATGAGAAGCGCATGGCGGAACGCATGAGAGATGCTCTGGATGAAAGTGCACATTCACTCTCTGACAACAGATGGCGCTGAACAGCACAAATGCGGCCGTTACCCCGGAAACCCCATAAACAAAGCAGCTGCACTACTTTCTGTTTCTGAAACGTATTTAAATTATTTTTAAAAAGCCATTCCCAGATTTGTGTATTCGCAGTGGTGGTCATCACAGCACCAAATAGACTACTTAAATATTTAGACTAAATAGGCTATTTATTTTAAAATTTTTTACATTTTAATCTGGACTAGGGATATGCCGGTATCAAATTTTCATGTTGCGATTAATTGCTAATGCTTTTATCACGGTATGCGGTATTATCACGATATTGAAATTTCGTTTTTAAAAACAGTGCTGTCATAATACAGTATAACAGGTTTAATAACATTTTTCTTATAACAAAAATAACTGAACATTTAAATGCAATAAAGCAATACAGAAAAATGTATAAAGTTAAAAGTTTTACACAGATTAAAGTGCAAAAGAACTATAAAGACCAATAGGTATCATACTTTAGGTATCACACTTTACAATAAGACCTCATTAGTTAACCTTAGTTAATGCATTAACAGACTACAAAACTCCCTAGATATTGTTCGAAAGTGTTTTGATTCTTTATTGTTCGGTCACACTTTACATTAGGGCTTCACTAGGGCTTCAAACTCCCATTAAATAAAAAAATCATCTAAATATTCATTAATCTTAGGTAATTCCAATATTTAATAACACATTGTTAAAATCAAAAGTTGCAACTGTGTTATTTACTGAACCCGAGCTAACATGAACTAAGAGTTGTATTTTTAACAAAGATTAACTTCTGTAGCAAATGTAGCTATTGCTCATTGTTAATGTTAATGCATTAACTAAGGTTAACTAATGAGATATTATTGTAAAGTGATACCTATTGGTCTTTATAACTCTTATGCACTTAAATCTGTTTTAAAAAATTTGTGTATTGCTTTATTGTAATTAAATGTTCAGTTATTTTTGTTATAAGAAAAAAGCTATTAAACCTGTTATACTGTATTATGACAACACCTTTTTGCAACTAAATTTCAATACAGTGATAATACCGTATACCGTGATAAAAGCATTAGCAATTAATCGCAACATGAAAATTTGATACCGGCATATCCCTATGATATTCTCAACGTTAGGGTGTGCAAACAACCACTCAACATGCTAGCAACATGATAAAAATCACTCAAAACATGTTAGTAATCCAACAGAAACGCCCTGGCAACCATATTATGGTGATGATTTACTTCCGAAAAATGTAAAGTATAACTTTTGTTCATATGTTTTGTATCCAAATTAACCAAAAGGAAACCAAAAAGTACTTTCCATCCCAGAATCCTACTTTTACAGGAACAGTCTCATATCATTTACAACTGTAGTCATCTAAAAGTAACCTTAACACAACCTCAAACTAAATTTAATTCTAATACTAATGACTCAACACGACAGCTCACCCCATGTGACTTTTTTCTCAATCCTTCAGTGCCATGCAGAGGACGGGCGTAAAGGCGTATATATATATTAAAAACAGGCCTGTGTTGTGC